TTTTTTTTTTTTTTTCAATATTGTTGACTTCAGAGAGAGGAAGGGAGAGGGAGAGAGAGATAGAAACATCAATGATGAAAGAGTCATTGATCAGCCGCTTCCTGCACGCCCCCGACTGGGGATCGAGCCCACAACCCGGGCATGTGCCCTGACTGGGTTCATTTTAATCTGACTCCTGCTAAAGGGGGTGGGGGAGCACACCATGGGAATGGCACTTGTCTGGCACTGAGGATAGTCTCCTTTCCACTTTGCTCTGAATCAGTTCCTACCAAACAGCTTAAACTTGCAAGAGTCAGCTCCAAACACAAATGTTCCCGTTTATCACTTCACACAGTTGTTTGACTGATTCATTTGGGGACGTGCAGAGAATTTCCAGTAGCCATCTGTGTATCTCCCAAGCACACTATGTGAGACCTCCACCTCCATACTCCTCCATCCCTCATCTAGAATTCAGTAGGTTTGTTTTTCAGACCAAATATTTGCACGCCCTACGGTCCACGTCAACCACTTTCTCATTAACACCAAATTAGTGTGCTCATGGATTTCTTCTCCGTTCCTGGACACAAGGGTGCGTCCACGTTGCCCTGCTCCCCTGAAACTCTTTGCTAATCTAAGACTCTCTGATGCAGGAATAAGCTGGAGGTTTTAAAAGGGCATTTCCAAAGAAGGTTTTGCCAATACCAGGAGAGCCCTAATAAATAAATACCAGGTTTCCCTTAGATGGTAGAGACCACGCCCTCCAGCAGCAAGAAGCCACACCCTCTAAGGCAGCCTTGCGGCTCCCAGCAGAGCCACGCGTGAGTAGTCCTCTTTCCCTGGGGCTAACCGAGCGCATGCCACATGTCACCACTCTCAGCTGGCACCTCTCTCCCAAAGGCGCAGACTTTCTGGGAATCCCCAGCAGAGGGGGTTGGGGTAGCGGGAGAGGGCCCGCCTGTGCCGTCCGCAAGAGTCGCTTCCCTGTGACTGCGCCTGCAGCCTCAGGGGATGGTCTGGGACCTCGCGTGGGAGGGGGTTGGGGCTCCTTTCAGGACAATCTGCCAGCCTCCTGGGACCCGGCTCTGAGCAACCGGGTAAGAGGCAAAACTCTGAGTGGTGAGAAACTAGTCCGTGGCCAAACTTCTCCCAGTCGTCTCCTGCACCACCATGGGTTTGCTTGGACCCCAGGAACCCCAGATGCAGAGGGTAACTCGGGTTCCTGGCGCCGCGAAGGCTCTCCACGCCTGGCGAGGGGCTGACAGTCGGCTCTCCCCTCCCGGTGCCCAGACGAGAGCCACCCTCTACGTCACCCCCTTCCCGGGCGGCGAAAAAGGAGTTCGTCGCAAACAAAGGGCGCCCCCCGCACCTCCATCTGTCCAGAGAGGAGGGTTCCCGGTGCCCAGCAGTGGGGAGGCTGCCCCGCCTCCGATCCTACCTGGGAAGCCGCGGCTCGGGGGGACTCGCAACAGCAGCAGCAGCAGCGCGGGCCAAAGTGCGGGGCTCCCCATGGCGCGCCGGCCCTCCACTCGGCTCCGCCGCGCAGCACGCTTCCCGCTTCCCCGAGGAGACCGACCAGACTGAGGGGCTGCCTGGAGAGAGGCGAGGGCTGAGCTGGAAAACTCCTCCTCTCGCCTCTCCCTCCCTCAGGCTTGGGGCCTATCCTCCTTCCTCCGCCTCCCCGGAATGCTGGCGCGGTTTGGGGCTCCCACCCACCCTCTTCTTTTTGGGCCAGTGCTTTTTCTGGAAGTGGGGCTGACCCCCCAGGACCAGAGCGCGCCAGGAGTATCTTTCTGTTCTCCAACTGTGAGCCTTCTCACCCGAATACACACACTGGTGGCCCAACTGCCTCCCAGATCAAGGGCCCCCAGCACAATGTCATCTGTGTAGGAAGCTGCGTGAGTCACATAGAAAGAGAAGGGGCAACCAAGGGGCTCCAGAGTGGCCCACTGCCGCAGGTTACGCTGGCCACACTGTCTACCAAAGAACCATCCAAACCTGCAGAGAATTTTTATGAGTTTACTTAAGCCAAACTGATGACAATTGCCAGATGCAAAATCACAACGGATTGAGAAAATGCTCCAGAGAATGGCAATTTTGTACCTTATTTTATACCTTAGAATAAAAGGAAGAGACATAGGCGGTTACGTGAAATCCACTGGTGATATATTGGGGGGGGGGCAGGAGAAAGCAAAGCTGGGAAGTCTCTAGGACTGGATAAAAAGTCAAAAGGAGAGACACATACTTCTTTCACATTGGTGGGTACATGATACTTAATAATTTACAGCACAGAGAGATGGTATTCGGGGAACAAGAAAACAATGAAGGGTTCTGTGGTCTCCTGTTCTTGTGCCCTTAGGTTAGCCTTGCGGGGTCTGGAAAAGATTACTCTGACATTTCAAAGGTATTGTTTTTCAAAACTATGGCAATAAAAAACAGTCTAACATCATTAACAAACAAAGCCATGTTATCTTAGATGAAAAAAGACAATAGGCTCTGTCAAGGTAAAGATTGATCTTTGTCAAGGAAGATACCAGCCTAGGACATGACTACTGCCAAGACTTGCTTTTAGTTAGGAAGTTTCACGTTCAGACCCTCCGATGTAGTTATTTTTGGTCTCTGAGTTTGTAAGGCCCGCCATGTAGTTTTCCCAAGCCTGTCAGGTTTAGTAGGTGGTCCCTTTTTCATCCACAACCCTCATGACCATGCCCCAAGCTCTGTTTATCACTACGTCCATTTTATCCAAGAAGAAACCCACATTTAGAAATTGCCCAGGTTCACTTTTATGGGCAGAGTGGGATTTGAACTTAGATGTGTGCTTCTGCTGATGCCAAGTCAACACTACAGCGTTTGTGTTTCTCTCTTGTAAAGGAATGACTCAAGGGCTGGACCCACTGCATGCTTGTTGCACTGAGGTTCGGAATGCGGCTTCAGGCTCTTCCCAGGGTGAAGACAAGGCAGAGAAAGTTCCCTGTTTCCATCACAGCCTTGGGAATCCAGCTGTTGTTTCCTGCAACCAGATTTCCCCATTACCTGGGTTGTTCTCAACCACCCAAGGACACCATGACAGGCCTGGAGCCTCCACCTTGTTATCTGGCATCAGGATAGGGTTTTTCGGCTGCCTGCATGATGGATCTGGTTTCTCTGAGGCTTTCTCAAATGTTTTGTTTTGTTTCAACCCATAAGGCAGAACCTCACCCCTTTCCTATCCAAAGGAGATCTCAGCTAAGGTAGATTCCAACGAGGGCTGCTGCATTAGATTGCGAGGTTTGGGCACTGCACAAAAGTACCTGGAGGAAGGGGCAAGTGGGAACGTAAATCCAGTTGCATCTGGGTTCACTGAGCCCTGTGCCTTGGCAGGGGACACACACATTGTGGAAGGACTCCTTTCTACTTGCCACAGCAGTCTTGCCCATTAGCTAGGCTGAGGGCCTTGGGAATATCCAATCCATCAGAATGTTTTCAAATTCTTTTATCTACAGGGTGTGCTCATTTACCACTTCTCACAAGAGCTCCCAACTTTAACTTCCATCTTATCCTCTCCAGTGTTTCTGGGGCTTTTCCCCATATACCCTGAGTTTTCTCCATTGCTGCTACCTCCTCAAGGAGCCAACAACCTTCAATAATCCTCAAGAAAAATGAGAGAGGTCAGCTTCATTTGTGGCCTCCATTAGACCAGGCACTTTGGGGAGTGGTTTTTCAATCCAGTCCACACACAACGGGCGGAGGGAGCCTTCATGGAAAATACCATATCCAGACTGGACCCCAGACCAATGAAACTAGAATCTTTAGGGTTGTGGCCTGGAGTTTGATCCAATGCATAGTTTTGTGCCCCTACACTGAGTGGTGCAGGTTTTAGAATAGGATAAGTCCTAGGCCAGGGTTTCTCAGCCCAGGCTGTTAACATTTGGGGCTCAATACTGCTTTCTTTGTTGGGGAGGTGGCTGCTCTGTGCACTGAAGGATAGTTAGCACCATCCCTGGCCCAGATGTCAATAGCAACCCCTTATTTTCTAAGTTGTGACAATAAGAAAATGTCAAATAGCCCTCTATGGGAAAACTGGCCCCCAGCTGAGAACCACTGTTTTAGGCCCACGAGCAAAGGTTAATGTGCATCTAGAATTCTAGATCCAGGTTGTGTGTCCAGCGGCCTTTCTCTCCTATATCACATCTGAAGCAAGCTCTCCACACAACAACCAACATCAATTCTCTTACTGCGACGAGAAGGAACACCTGGCTTTCTCCTAGGACCTGAGTCTGGTGAAATACAAGAAACACCACTCTTAGTGTTAAGTGTTGCTCTCTTTGCTATCTTAGAGCAAACTCTAATCTGATATTATTCTTATTAGTAGTAGTGGTAGTAGTAATTATTATTATTCCAGGCCTCTCTCTGATAGAAAGGATGAGGCCAGAGGGAAGATGAGGGGAAGAGGTTATCAATTTATCCCACAATACCTTGGTAGACAATAGGCTGGTTAAGTAAATTCATAATCTGTCAAACAACTGAACCAGAAGATGGGGTAATGAGTTGACGGAAACATAAAGAGAAGTCACGCAGGGAGTGCCACAGAGCTATGATCTCATTCTTGTTCTGCTTTAGATAACTATTAATTGGATAAAAAAGACATTGCTGGCATGAGACATAGACATCGGTTCCAAACATCTCTACAGGCAGAAATGCTGCATTGACTCTGAACAGTAAATAAGGATACATACGATGTCCTACATTAGATCTCGAAAACCAACCACACGGATACAGAGTAGGGGAAACGTGGTTTCCCAGTAGTATCTGAGAGTGCAGCCTAGCTGCCCATAAGCTAAGAAAGATGTTTCAGGCACCGCAGGGCTGTACTCACAGTGCCTGTTCTGTCCTCTGAAGCATTCCTGGGAGATGGGTAAAGTGCCAGAGGTGAGGAGAAAGAAACACAGGCATCAAAGTCTGGCAGGGGGAATGGAGGTGTCTTTCCAATCTGTGCCATGTGGAGAAGTTTGGATTAAATATCACAGTAGAAAAGGAAGGAAAAGGATTACCAGAATTCACCTCCACTTAATTCCTTGAGCTTGTCTAATCAGAGATGGTATTGAAGGAGAAACTGTCAGCCACCTACCTACTGCAGGAGAGAGATTTTCTGAGAGCCCTTCCCTCCCTGTGCTCCTACAATCTTCCCACACCTCCTCATTCTCCCACTCTTTCAAACCAGTTCTTCTCTTTCCTCATCCTTTCAGAGTAAAGAACCTGAAGTTTAAGGGGAAAACTGGTGGCTCACTGTCCCTTGGGAAATGGGCTGTGTTGCCGGAGCCCGCCGGCAGAGTCGAATGGTCCTGAGAGTAGGGGTGAGGATGGAGAAAAGACAGACACAAAAAAGATGGGATCGGGAGGACTGCAGCTCGTGACGGCTGCAGCCCCGAGTTTATTTTCCAAGCTCAATTTATACCAGCTCTGTTGTTTTTGCTGAATAGCACCCTGCCCCACATTCCTTCCCCTTGCCCGATACAAAGTAGTTCTCTCCAGGCTGCACAAACACACCTTCAGGTAAACATCCTGCCTCCTGCAGGAGCTCAGACCTTGGTAACCATCTTTGTCTGGGCTTCTAATAGGGACTTGTTGGGAAGGATTGAGTCCTTGGCTTCGTGTGTAGCTTGACTGTCCCTTAACCCTTCAGGCCAGGGCCAGCTTCCTAATAAGCCTTTCTAGAATTTAAGGCCGCAAGCTAAATTAGTACTGCCTTGGTGCCTCAAGGTCTGGGTCAGGGANGCAGGGGAGCACATCTGCAGCTCACCCAGGGAGCTCCTCTGGTCCTGGGGCCACAGCAGCTCACCCACATCTCCCAGGGAGCAGGGGAGCACATCTGCAGCTCACCCAGGCAGCCCCTCCGTGCCTGGGGCCACAACGGCTCCCCATAGATGTGTGTGTGTATTAGAGTCAGGAAGATAAGTTTGATGTGTGTATTAGACTTGAAATAAGTAACTCCATGTTGTGTGACTGAGTGTAACTATGAGGCATGAGGCCTGCTGCCACGATAAGATTAACACTTTGTAGCCCCGGCCTCCAACCAGGCCCCCGCGCTCTGTAGGACCCCATAAGACACACTGAAGACACACCACACCCTTCGACTGAACTGTTAAAAGCAGGAGCTTTTGGGCCACATCCTCGGACGCTTGTCTGCCCTCCACAGACTTCGTCCCCAGCTCCGGGAAAGCTGCCCCTGCCTTGCTCTGCCCCGCACCTCTCTGCGGGAGCTTCCAGAGGGCTGCAGTGACCGACGCCGTCGCNGGTGACAGACGCCGTCGCGGCCGCACCCCCGAACCCCATGAGTGTGTCTTTCTGCGGATCCTCCGGGTGGCCTGCTGGTGCCGAGAACCATCGGGAACTGGTAAAGAAACCCTGTGTGATTTGCTTTATGTTCGCCTCTGTCTCCCTTCTTGAGCTTGAGTTATTGGCTCGGTCTCAGTGAACCAAGTGTCTCTCGACCCTCACGGTGGTATAGCCACATATCGGGAGCTAGACCACCTGCGTAGACGTCTCCAGGGAA